ACTTTTACTCATGTAATGATGGCCTTGGCTTGTCCTCACTGTTTATTTACAATGTGGCCTTGTGGCTTAAAACAGAACAGAACTTTCTGAAACAAATGCTTGCTCTACATTTCTCTCTCAGATTCCATGCCCTCTGCAGAGTGTTGAGCTCTCTGGGGCAGCTGTGTCTGCTGATGCCCACTCCAGGAGCCCTGGACATGGCACATCTGTAGCACTCTGAAGCAGAACCAGGACAGAGGAAAACACCTCTCTCTCCTGTCCCATCCCCACTGCTCTCTGCAGCCTGCAGGATTTACACCCCAGCTCACTGCAGTGGGCAGTGACAGCGACAGGAATGGCTGTGTCCTGCTCCTGTGGCAGGGGCTGTCCCTGCCTGTCCCCTGTGCCACCCAGGGCAGCTCTGATGGGACAGGCTTTGGGACAGGCTCCCAGAGATGCACACTGGATTTTGGGATGGGCTCCCAGAGATGCACACTGGATTTTGGGATGGGTTCCCAGAGATGCACACTGGATTTTGGGATGGGTTCCCAGAGATGCACACTGGATTTTGGGACAGGCTCTCAGGAGATGCACACTGGATTTTGGGATGGGCTGGCTCCCAGAGATGCACACTGGATTTGGGACAGGTTCCCAGAGATGCACACTGGATTTTGGGACAGGACCCCAGAGATGCACACTGGATTTTGGGATGGGCTGGCTCCCAGAGATGCACACTGGATTTGGAACAGGACCCCAGAGATGCAAACTGGATTTTGGGATGGGCTGGCTCCCAGAGATGCACACTGGATTTTAGGATGGGTTCCCAGAGATTCACACTGGATTTTGGGACAGGACCCCAGAGATGCACACTGGATTTTGGGATGGGCTGGCTCCCAGAGATGCACACTGGGTTTGGGACAGGACCCCAGAGATGCACACTGGATTTGGGACAGGCTCTCAGGAGATGCACACTGGATTTGGGACAGGACCCCAGAGATGCACACCAGCAGCAGCAGCACCTGGCCCTGAACCTGCTGTGCTCCCTCAGTGCTTCTCACTGGGCTTTTCCAGCCCTGCTCCCATTTCACAACAATGTGCTTCTGCCAACACCACCAAAGGCATGTCAGCAGTAGCTCAAAATGTAATTTTCTTGTCATGTACTGTTGCCTAATTATTTATATTGCTTATTAGAAATATGGATAATTTAACATAATCTGCTGGGGATTAAGGCAGAGACAGCCATACTTTACATTCATTTCAAATAGAAAAAACAGAAATGAAGGCTGCGAAAATCACCTGGCAGTCAGCGTGTGACATCTCTGTTACAGCTCTATTTCTTCTGCCGGGCAGGTCTCTGTTTATTTCCTTACTTTCACATGTCTAGAAAGAAGGACTGGGAGAAACAGTTAGATCCAGCCTTTGTATTTAGCATAGTAAATCATGTGGTTCAGTTGCTTTGCCATCATTATTTCACTGAACCAAATTTATCCCAATGCATGTACACTGATTTAAACCAGAAATTAATTTAGCCCATAACTTTTTTTAACACAAAAATACTCAAGTTGGGTGGAACTACAACTATAATTGGAGTCAGAGTCTGAAACAAAAACATTAAAGACCAAATTCTCCTTAGAGGACCTGACCTTAGACATCTCTTGTCCACATTAAAAAAATAGAAAGGAAAAAAGCATGGTCTGTCTCTTAAACTGGAATATATGATGTCATACCAGGACTCCAAAGTAACTCCCAGTGAACAAACATTATCAGCAAAGAACTGTGTGTATATGATTAAGAATAATTTAATAACTGAAAATGACTTCAGTGCAGGAGATATGGAAGACCCTGTAGGAACATTTAAAAACCATTTGAAATGTTTCAGTCTGTGTATTCTCTAAGGGCTCTATTTAAAATAAATATTCTATTGCCATATCAAATATCATCCAGCTTGTGGAGTCCCTGGGTGTCCCTGGGTGCCCCTTGGTGCCCCTGGGTGTCCCTGGGTGCCCCTGGGTGTCCCTGGGTGCCCCTGGGTGCCCCTGGGTGCCCCTGGGTGTCCCTCTGTCTTTGAGTCATGTCAGTGTAAACTAATAAAACTAGGGACTGGAATTTATAGCAAAACAACTTAAAGGTACAAATAATGTAATTATTTAACGTCATTATGCAAAAGGTTGCATTTGGGGAAGGAAAAATCAAATCTGTGAAAATTCCAGAGAGAGGAATTACAGTGAGAGGAATCCTGACAAGATGAAAGAGAAAACCGTGTTTCTTGGGCATCTGGTTTAAATTGCTAAATCAGCGCGTCTGGATAAACAGCAGTAAGTGTCACAAGGCAGCCCTGGGCTGCAGCAGGCACAGTGCCAGTGTTTCTGGGATGCAGTGACACTTGGCTAAATCCTGCTGAGGACACTGGGAGTCAGCTCCAACAATGAGCAGGAAGAGGAACAGGGAAAATCCCAAGCACCTTCCCATAAGCCACCTGAAGAACTTGTCCCACAAGGCCCAAGTGTTTGTTTCCATCAATACCACCCTGTGTACACAAAGCAACAGCCCATGCCTGGGCCTGCTGGCAGCAGGAGAGCAAAACAGCCGCGGGAATGAGACGTGTGTCAGGACTTGCTCTTGCCCCACGGTGCTGCAGCCAAGGCAGGGGTGAAATATGGGCAGCCAGCCCCTATTCCCAATGGAAGGGCCTGCTTCACCATATTTTGCTCGGGTTCAAAGCCTTAAGATATTCCAGTGATGGCAATTACGGGGTTTTGTTCTTTACCTTCTGTGACTGGAGTTTAAAACTGACTCCCAGTATTCCCTTTCCTTCATGAAGACTGGATTTCTTATAGGAAACAGGAGGGTTTCTGTTGGTTTCTACGTTTATAGGGTGGCAGAGGCCAATCCAGCCCTCTGTGGCCATGTGTGTGACCAAGGTTTGGTCTGGTTTGTGAGATGGCTGAGGTGGCAGGATGTGCCCCATCCTGGCAGGAGCAGCTGTGCCCTGCTGTGCTCCTCACACGTTGGACAGAGCTGGTGCAGGATGGATCTGAGCTGTGAGAGCAGCTCGTGTCCAGGAACCAGCTGGACACTTCTGAGGGATCACATTCACAGAAACACTCCAATCTTGCCAAACAGAACAAAATCCTGAGCTAGCTGGCCCAGAGCTGGGTGAATACCACTGGCAAGTATTCCTTTGACTAATTTGTTTCCATCAGCTTTGAGTCATGTGTGCTGTGTCTTCATTCCTCATCTGGCTGCATTCTTCAGTCAATTCAATTATTTTTAACATCCCTTATTTAGCTTTTGTTCTTGTAAGCATTTCTTATTTCTGTTGATAGAAACAGCGATACTGACATTTCTGAGGTTGCTGTGTTTGCTCAGTCCCTGGGTTTAAACGGTGGTTTGTGATTCCAGCAGGGCGGTTTGTGATCCACGGCGTCCTTGCCCAGGGATGACAGCCCTGCTGTAAATGCTGATGATTTACTGCCTTGTTTTGTGAGTGGCCCAGTCAGGGCTTGCCATGTGAGAAGCTTTTGCCCTCTGGAATGGATCAGACCTACCTGGGGGTAAACTCAGCTCAGTGAGAGGCAGGCATTCCTTTGGGAACATCCCAGCTGGGAACTTTGCTGCAAAAAGAGGAGAGGAAAACAGAACCTAGGGCCAGGTCACTCCTGCCCTTCCCTATTCCTGGGACTGTCTGGGGTCACTTTTCCTGTTCCTCCTCATTGCAGCCCTTGTTGTAGAGGGATTAATGCACCCAAAGGACAGAAAGCTGTGTGTGGGAAGGGGAGCGTGTGATGGGACACAGCAGAGCTGATTCGCTGGGAAAATGCAGAGCTAGCATTGATCTGCAGCTCCAGAAGCAGACAGAGGTGTGAAGCACCTGCAGAATAACATTGCCCTCCCTCTGCATTTCCTGGGGGGCCAACAATAGGAAATGGCATGAAAAAATCTCCTGGGGGGCTGACAATATGAAATGGGATGCAAAACTTGGAAGGGCGAGGGGGTGGATTTTAAAATTCAAAAGGTAGATAGATCAAAACTAGAAGCCGAACAAAAGTGGTTTCCTGGGTTTGCATCATTCTTGTGACTGCCTGGGATCTGGATATTGTTTTTACCTTTCTGACAATTCCTGCTGTAATTCCTGTCACTCCTGAAAATTCTGCTGTAATAATGGAGAGAATATAAGCAGACATACTGATGTAATGGAGAAATTTTTGTTTTGCTGTCTTTAGGCAGGTTTTAAAAGACATCACAAGCAATAGGGATTCAAAGCCATATTCTCAATGTTCTATTTCCCATTTCATATATTCCTATATTTCATATGATCCATTCTGTGCACAGTTACAACGTGAAGCTGCATTTAATCAGTATGAAAGAATAAAAAGTAGCAGAGATTTCTGAAGTGCCATCATGTATGTGCTCAAATACTTTTGGTATATATATATGTGTGTATCTGTACCATGTCTATCTGCACTCTAAAGCCCTGATCTCTGCCTTTCTTCTTATACACATGGGTTCAGACAGTTTAGATTTATATTATTTAACATCTCCTTTACATACACATAAATTATACCTAATTTGTCTTTAATTACTAAAGGCATATTTCCTTAAAATTGTATAGTTCCATTCCTTCTCCTTCACCTGGCTAAAAAGCCTTTTAGGTGAAATCCTGGTTTGTGGGAAATCACATGGAAGCCGCAGTAACACAGCAACCAGCAATTAAAAATAAGCTGATGCAAACAACCAGAACAGCAAATGTAATCAAAAGCCAGACCTGACACTCTGCATTCTATGGATTTTTTCTGATCCTATTGGGAGCAGTTGAATTTGCCTTGCCCTTTCCTTCAGGCTTTCTGTGGTTCTTATTAATTAGAATTTGTGCTTATAAATTGCTGTTTAAAGAAAACCTCTTCAGCTTTGGCTTTTTAGTTTTGGGTTTTGTTTTTCCTCCTCCTTGCAGCTCCCCAGCAAATGCTGCAATTGTTTACCCACAGTTGGTTCAAACAAGGATGGACTGATGCTTGAGATTGTGCTATAAGACATTTTATTTAAGTTGAATTGTGATCATGGTTTTTCAGTGTTGCTGGTTGGGTGGTTGATTCCTTTCTCAGTGGAGACAGTGGGAAGGGAGGGTTCCTTTGTTTCAGGCACGGCGTGCACTGTTCAGTCCTGGCACAGGGGTGGAAGGTCTTGCTCAGACTAAGGAAGAATAAACCAGGCAGCAGGAACAGCTCTGGCCTGGGCAGCCAGGGGCCAGCTTCCAGCCTTCTGCAGTAGTGAATTCACACTCTCTCAGTAGTGAGTTCTGTTGTACACCCATTGCAGCTTCTCTGTCTCCCAAAGCTCAAAATGTTCAGACTCTGAAATGTTGTTTTTCCCAGAGCACAGCTGCAGCCAAACCCCAGGGTACAGCTGTTTCTGGGTAAGGCTGGGGCTCTGTGGGACTCTTGCAGTCAGGATTTGGCCAGTGCTGGTATTTGGTGTCTGTCCTCTATGCCCCACTGTTTCTGAAGCACAGGACCTTTCAAAGGCTTCATCCCAGAGCATCCGTGGTGGTCTGGCTTGTGTACCATAGGAAATCGCCTAGAAAGTGCAAATATTGCTTGTCCCACCAGTAAAATATGTGGAAAATCATATTGTGTCATATTATGTGCCAGTGCCACAGCAGCATCAGGCCCAAGGACCAGGGACCCAGAGCTTCCCATGGAGAAACACTTATCTCTGAGATAGTCACACCAAACACTTCTCTCTGAAATACTTACACCAAACATTTATCTCTGAAATAACTACACCAAATTCAGGTCTGGCCAGGGAGCTGACAGTCCCAAAGAAGGTGCCAGTGGTTCAATTCCTAATTCAGGTCTGGCCAGGGAGCTGACAGTCCCAAAGAAGGTGCCAGTGGTTCAATTCCTAATTCAGGTCTGGCCAGGGAGCTGACAGTCCCAAAGAAGGTGCCAGTGGCTCAATTCCTACATCTGCTGAATCAGTGACCAGCAGGCCCAGCACACTCAGGGCAGCAGACAGACCCTTGGTACTGACAAGGAACCCAAGGAAATGAAAAGGTGTCATCACCTGGAGGTTATGGCTGTTGACATGCACAGCTATTGCTGTTGTGCAAACAATAAATTTGGTTGCAATGCAACAGTAGAGAATTCTCAGCGTGAAGTCAGAGAGAAGAGTTATTGAGAGGTCTTGCCAGGATTTGAAAAGAAGAAAGGAGTTTCTAAGGGAGAAAAACAGCTTGAGGGAAAGTCTAAATTTAGAAATAGGTCTCCATGTTTAATAAGATAAATATAAGGCTGAGTCAACAGTAAATACATCCAGAGATTAATGATGAAAGTGGAGCAGACACGGAGGAATCACATTCGCACAAGTCAGGAGGACTGGGAGAGCTCTCAAAGGAACAAAGAGGCTGCTTGGCAGCACCCAGATCTGTTCCCTGCTGGAGCAGAGGTGTGCCCGTATGGCTGTCTCACACATATAAAGTGTTAGATAAACATTTATATTTTAAGGAAGAAGCAGCACTTCATGGCGTGAAGGCAGTGAAAGTGAAGGTCAGGGATCAGACATGAAGGTCTGTTCCACCTCCACAGAGCAGCTCACCAGTTTGTGTGTTTCATTTTGCAAGTGGACCCTCAGCTATTGTTTCTTTCTATTAGGAAAAGATAGTGATCTCAGTCTTCTCATAGCTTGTACAGAAAAACAATCTTATTCAGCTGTAGCTGTGCTGTGGCCAGATTTTCCACCAGTCCTGTGGTTTAGCTCCATTGACTTTACTGCAGCAATGTTTTCTCACCCTGGCTGAGGATCAGCTTTGGCGCTTTGAGTTTTTGATGTAAAATATTTCCAGAATGAAAGGTATTGTCCTGATGTGTTACAGAGAGTAGTAATGAATACTTACTGCTCTAAATGCTGTTGGATCAGGCTCTGGCTTCAATGCCTGTTTATTCTGGGGACATGCTGACTGAAGCATTTCGTGGAACCTGTTGGTTGACAGAGAGGGACAGAGCTGAGGGGGAATGTTTGCTCTGGGTGTTTATCTTCCTTGTGCTGCACAATCCGTTCATTCCTCTCCTCAGCTGGGATGGATGGAGCACAAGTGCAGTTCCTGCTGCTGCTCTGGATGGA